AGCGCCGTTAAAGCCCTTGATTGCCGTTGTGGGTGCGACTGGTACAGGCAAATCAGATGTAATGAAAATAAACTGAGTCATGCTGAGCGAGAACTGATCACAGCAGACAGTTAGCAGTGGAGATTGCACGGAAATTCAATGGCGAGATCATCAATGGAGACGCAATGCAGTTGTACCGGGGCTTGCCAATTATCACCAACAAGATTACTCCAGATGAAGCGAAAGGCGTTCCCCATCACCTCCTAGGATCCATCGGTCTAGAAGAAGAGACATGGACTGTAGGAAAGTTTGTGGGCGAGGCTATGAGCATAGTATGAACCAAGCCCGCGTAAAGGGCATGCCACTGATCAGATCAGATCGAAGAGATCCGAAGCCGCGGCAAGTTACCTGTTTTAGTCGGCGGAACCCACTACTACACGCAGTCGCTTTTGTTTCAAGATGCGCTTGCTGATGAGCCTGCATTGAATTTGAACGAAAACAGTGAAAAGCTACCAATATTGGAGGAGCCCACTGAAGTCCTACTTGAAAAGCTGAAGGAAGTTGATCCTATTATGGCAGGTCGTTGGCATCCAAACGAACGGCGTAAGATCCAACGCTCACTCGAGATATATTTAAGGACAGGACGACCAGCATCTGAGTTGTACAATGAACAAAGACTCAAACGCCAGTCTTCCCCATCTTCACCGGATACCCCACAATCTACTAGTAGCCCAAGTCTTCGCTTTGAGACTTTAGTGTTTTGGGTACATGCTAATAAAGATGTTCTGCATCGTCGGCTTGATGGACGTGTCGATAAGATGTTGAACAAAGGTCTACTTTCAGAAGTTCAGGAGCTAAGTAGTTTTGGCCAGCAGTATGAAGCCAAGACCGGTATTCGCGTGGATCAAACTCGTGGTATCTGGGTATCAATAGGGTACAAGGAGTTCTTGGATTATCAGCATGCGCTGGAAAATCAATCAATGCCACCACAAGAGCTCGAGAAATTGAAAGTAGCCGCCATCGAGAAGACCCAAGCAGCTACGCGCCAATATGCCAATCGTCAGATCAAATGGATCCGCATCAAGCTGCTGAACGCACTGATAGGCTCAGGACAGAAGAGAAATACCTTCTTGGTTGATGGGTCTGACATCTCGAAGTGGGATACTGATGTCGCGCAGCCGGCGACCGCCATCACTAAGCAGTTCCTTGCGGGCGAGGCTCTTCCAGAGCCATCATCACTTTCGCCTACTGCAGCAGAGATGCTTACACCAAAACGGGAATATGATCTTGGGCAAAGACCAGATCTTTGGCAGAAGAAAGTTTGCGAAACATGCGGAACAGTTGCTGTTACCGAAAACGACTGGACATTACATGTCAAGAGCCGTGCGCATCGTCGAGCAGTGGGGGCAAAGAAGAAGCAAGAGAACACACAGGGTGTGGCAAAGAAACCTATTAAATCTGCACAGGCTGATGTGGTTGATGTTCTAGAGAGCTATCTGGAGAGCTTTCCGGACGAGAAACACTTGGAGTGAGATTAAGCTACTACTGAGAGATGACTGTGGCGCGATGGACTCACAAACCCAGAATGCGCCCGTCGCCCCTTGCATACCCAGCAGCGAATCCCATAGATCATTTCCAAGCTGAGAAATAAGGGCAGTTGAACATTTAGGAGATTCAATAGGCCTTTTGGAGGGTAGGGGTGGGATTACCCAATTGGGAATTGAATAACGCTCAAGGCAAAAGAAACAGGCTTAGCCTTCTTGACACAGGCGTACCTAGTACGCAAGCTGGATATGTCGACAGCCTCCCCACATAAGAGACGGTTCCAACCCAACACCTTTCAGATGGTTGGCACTACGTTCGTTACAGTCGTGTGATCTTAACTCTAACACCCGCGAGCATAACCTTCTAATCTTGATCCTCCCGTTTTACCTAATTGCCACTCCGCTGTACTATGTCGCCCTTCCGGTATGCCAAAGTGAGCAGCGAAAGCTCCCAGGACGGCTCTCTTGAGCATCAACGCGTACCTCCTCGGAGAAACAGATGCTGTTCAATCTTTGAAAAGTTGGAATTTCTTCGCTGGCCTGTCACATTCTTCTTACTATTCGTCATACTGTTATGCGAACTGTCCATGCTTCACAATCAGCCAAAGGCAGTACAAGTAGGAACAGATTTCAACAGCATTGTCCCTGTTTGTACGTCAATTACTTCGCCCCTTACTAGAAAATCCTTTTAATGAATTTCCAGTTTCCACCGAGAAGAAGATTTTCCGCAGCGACAAGAGATTCAGATCCGACCACAAGACCATGGAATCCGTCAACAAAACAAAACAACAGTGGGCTGACCTCCTCCCCCGTAAGCAACCCCTCCTTTCCCACAAAAAAAACCCCCCATTCTAACCATAACAGTCGGCGCCGGCTTCATGGAAGTCCCGGACTACAACTCGTACACCCTCCCCCCTCCAATGCACTTCCCCGAAGCCCCCGGCAAAGAAGTTTTCTCCCTCGCCGTCTTCCACGAGCTACACTGTCTCATGCACATTGCCACCTCCATGGACGACCTCGTCATGCAGGTCCGCAGGAAAGATTTTCACCTCGATGAAAGTTTTCTGTTGCACAATGACCATTGCTTCGATTATATACGGAATGTCATCATGTGCTTTGGAGATACGACGCTTGAGGGGCAGACCCGCACACCTGGGATCGAGCATGTGCCTGGGACGGATGGGACGGGGGCGATTCATGTTTGTCGGAATTTTGATGAGGTTTCGGCGTATGCGGAGGAGAAGAGGTTGAATGAAGGGCGGGAGCATCTTTGAGGCTCGGAAGGGTTGTGTTGTCTATGTCTTGTCGTTGATAGGATAGGGTGTAAGGTAAATCGTGGCAATGTTTTCATTTAGCTTGAGTAAATAGCAATAGGTACATACAATATGTTCTTTTGAAGTATTAAAAGCCCAGACCTGAGATCACCGTATGCCCCACTACTTGAAGAAGCCATATAGCACATTTTGTCCGAAATGACGAGCACCTTACCACCCACTCTCCCGCGCAAGAACATCCCAGCCAACAAGCCGCCAGACCTCCTCCTTATACCATGTCTCCACGTCTTCATCCTCCACCTTGGCCACGTTCTGCAACGAACCCAGACGCATTTGAGGCATCGGCTTCGTAAGAACGTCCAAAAATTCATCGTCAGTACTGTGTCCATACATGCACGCGACAAGCGTACGCTGCAGCCGATCTTTGGCAAGCGGACTCAGACGGGCCCTCGAGGTAGTAGTGATATTCTTGATACTCATTGTACGGATAGCTCGATTTGGATTCTGCTGCGCTCTAAGGCTTTGTGAGTTCATGTGGTTTGGGGCCAGACCCATTGCTCGCTCAAGAATTAGAATGAGTGCTTTGGCTTCCAAACGTAGGGAAAGTGCATCACAATCTCGCTTCGAGGCTTCAGCTGCATCCTTTGCGTCAGGTAGAGGTAGGATGTTCATTTCGACACTAGAAGAGCGGTGCTGGCCGAAGGTCGAGTAATAGAGTCTCCTACCGACGCGTTCGAAAAGAACAAAGATGAAGCCGTCGAAGATCCTTTGATGAATTTCATCATTCTTTCCCAGGAGACCCAGAAAACTGATAAGGAGATGTGCGACTGCTCTGGCTGGACTGGACTCTCCGATGGTGTTTGAAGATGCCTTTGTCTTGCTTTTCTTCTGGGCCGGTGGCTGCGAGAGAAAGCTTTGTGCAGTGAGCCAGGCGGATATCTCGATAGCCCTAAGTGCCACTTTGAACATGTCTGCCAACTCACAAATAACCAAACTTGCTAGTCTTTTGTCGAGTTCTAACTTTGTAAGCTTGTCCAACCCAACTAGTATAGACATGAAAGTTCTGGCGCACACCGAGAGTGCATTAGCAAAGTTCGATTTGTCTTTCTCCAGGGAGGTTGCTCCACTAGAGTTTTTGTATCCCTGTTGAGCCAGAGTGCCGTGATTTTGGGCAATGAACAGTAAGATTTTCCCCATGGATGAAGCACTGCTTAGCAGATGTGAACATAATGTGCTGGCATTGGGATCACTATTTTTGCATAGCGAATGAACACTGAATATTGATTCCATGAGGGTGTTGCCATATTTTCCAAGAGACTCTAGGAAATCCAAGTCCTGATCGATAGTTTCTTGTGCGGCAGCGACCGGACCTTGGGCCTGTTTTTGCGACCGCCTTGGTCGCTTCAAGTTTTTCGTTGATGATGGCGGCCGAAAATTGGCATCCGCTTCGAGGTCTGGCACTGCACTTGGTTGATTTGATAGTAGTTGGTTCGATCTCTCAAGTTTGATGTTGACATTGCGAAGTCGGTCACATTCATCTTCTGCTCGCTTGCATCGTTCCTTCCAGTAGGCCACTTGATCAACATAGCATCCCGGGTTCGCTCTTTCTCTTGGATCTTGGCCAAGCTTGATCTGGGACCGTAGATGGAGAATGTGTTCTTGTCTTGTTAGTTGATTTTCAGTGCGTTTCAGTGACATCTACCAACCTCGCAATGGCACTCCTGCGGGTTTACATCTGATAATGGCAATAGCAAGGGCTATCTGCTGCTGAGATGGTAGAGAAGTTGAAGGATTTTCAGTTGCAAACGTATCCATTACCGCGTCTTGTATTGAGGTTGTAATAAGACCGCGATATGGGATAGAGTAGATTACGATATATGATGCAGAGGAAAGATGATAGTAAGGACAATTGTCCAGATGCAGAACGCATCTCACGATCAGTGAGAAAAGAAAGTGGTAAACGGCAAGTGACGCTGATATATTAGGGCAGGCGAGTGAGAGACACTGACACACTGAATACGGAAGGAGCGACCTCCGTGTGCTCAACCTTCGGACTCATGCACACCCATGAACTTCACGCTCTTCAGACCATAAAAATACGTGTCTCACTTGAAGTATAATAGTATAGTGCGTCAAGGTACTATATAATGTACATAAATCTACATCGTGCACCCGCTCTTTCGGCTTGGCTCCTACAAGTCGCTTATCGCATGCGTTCTGTCCTTCTCTTGTATGGAAGAGGCTCTACCTTATTCCTCTTGAATTCGACATTGATCTGACTCTTCATGCCAGCTCGCTCCATAACACCTGCCATACTGTCGTCCCATTTGGTTCTGAAAAGCGTAGCCGTGATGGGGTGGAGCTTGTTCGAGTCGGTGAAACTGCGCAGGTTGAACCCTATGCGCTTGACGTTGTTGAACTTGGTAACGTTAAGGGCCTGACCAGCATTCTGCTCAAAGACAAAGATTCCTAGACGATGGTATGGCGCGCCCTTGTGAGCCCAGGGCGCAATCCAAGGCAGTGCAATCTTCTTTGCGCTAGGATCCTCGACCTTTTGGTCTTCTTGGGCGATGCGTTGAAGAGGTATAGATGTGTTGTTGGGGGAAAGGGGTATGTTGGAGGCAATCAAGTGGCATCGGTAGGTGAAGCTGTCAGTCTCTGGGACAGGCACATCCGCATCTACTACCACAACTGTGACGAGTTTCTCACCCGGAGTGAACGTTTGAACGTTGAGTCGAGGCATCTTCTCACTGATGGCAGAGTCGACAAAGTCGCCTGGTGCAACCGACTTCCTTCCGAAACCGAGGTCGATGTCCGCTACAAGATCCAACGAGGGGAGAATATCTGGAATAATGGCCAATTGTGTAACACGCTGCTCAAGAACGAGGCGCTTGTACTGCCGCCACTTCTTGTCGGCAAGGTATCGATATATGGGCTTGTTCATGTCACCTTTGCAGCGGTCAGTCAAGCCCAGAAAACCAGATATACAACCTACCCTGGCCATCCTCGAACTTTCGCTTGACCACCGGGTCGTTGATGTCGGCCAGAATGATCAATTCATTCAAATGCTTCCGCATACTCCGTAACCTATGCTCCTTTGCTGCGGGCCCACCGCTGACACTGGGGTCCTGGTCCATCAAGTTCTTGATTCGCAGCTGCTGTGTCTCGATCTCTTTAATCTTCTCTTGCCTGTCCTCCAACAAGAACTTCCGAGCCTCCTGGAAGCACTGATAAGGCAATTGTTCAAAGGGAATCTCTGTCGCCTTCTGTATCGCAGAACGGCGAAGAGCAGCACGACGACGGCGAGATCCCACTGGTTGCACATGCTCTCTCCGTAGCAGCCGGCGCTCCTGTTTCTTGTTTTCCACCATTTGAGGGTCCAATGTTCCCCATTTTTGCATGAACTCGGGTACTGCTTGGGGAGAAGCATTCTGGGCAGCACCTTCGGAGGGGTTCGAGGGCGGGGGAGGCCGAGTCGCATTCGCAGATTGCGTCTGCACCTCTTCATGGGCCACGGCGGAGGTCGAGAGCAGACGGCGGGCGCCAATGGTGCCAGGCATCTGTCGCACGCATCTCAGGCATGCGCTGAACTGGCGTACGGACGGCATGGAGGCCATGGCGGGCGATGGCTTGGTGTCGATGTGCCGAGTGATGGTGGTGCTAGAAAATGTGGTGATGGGTGACGGTCCGTGCTCCGAAACCTCCGTCCTCAACTCCGCGACTTCAACCTTGGGGCTTTTTTTGATACCCGACCCGGCATGGCTTCCTCGAGGTTATCCGCGCCGATACGGGGCGTCACATTGCAATTGAGCAGACTGACAATACGGCAGAATGCGCTGTGCACTCGTTGCGCCGTGAGTAGTCTCATATTTGTGGCATGCGATCTGCTAACGCCTCACAGAAATCTCTATGCACACCCTCTGCCCGCTCCATAACTACATCTGCGCCAGTCAATGCCACGATATCAACAATCAGACAACCAGGCGCCGACTATGTCCCCGTCAAACCGTTTGAGGAGCAGACCGTCTTGGCGACTATCCACCAATTCCCCTCACTGGAGCCGCTACGATTCGAACAATATCCTGCAAACCACCTTTACCTACCTACCCGACGAGACATACTACACCGTGCTGTCGTCTATGAGGGTGATATGACCCGGTTGGGAACTGCCTCTACGAAAACCAGACATGAGATCCGCGGTTCAGCAAGAAAGATTCGGCCACAAAAGGGTACAGGTCGCGCTCGTCTGGGAGACAAAAAATCGCCCATGTTGAGAGGAGGTGGAGTTGCATTCGGTCCCAAGCCCCGCGATTTTTCGTCAGAGCTGCCAAAGAAGGTATACGACCTTGCGTGGCGGACAGCACTGTCATATCGCTTTAGAAAGGGCGAACTCATCATCGTTGACAACCCCATGGAGATTGAAAGCCCATCGACAAGATTACTGAGTGATATCTTCAAGCACCACGAGAAGCTGCGGGGTAAAGGTCGCAGCTTAATGGTGACTTTGGAGGAGCGACCATTGTTAGAACAAGCGCTTGTTGAAATGGACCGCGGCGAGCAAACTCTCACATGGGAGGAAGTCGACGTCAAGAATCTATTGGAGCTCTCTCGAGTCATCATTGAGCGCGATGCTTTGCACAACATTCTTCTTTCCCACGAAGAAGACCTCACACACAAGGCTCTCCAGCCATGGCACAAGAGCCTCATTCGGTCATCACCCCCTTCAGAACTCGAATCCGTTGTTGGCTGGGAAGAATTCCGCAACCTCTCTCTTGCCGATCCCAAAGAAAAAGAAGCTCTCCGCGCCGAAGCATACGAAGACACAGCAACAAGACGCTATGCCGAAGCTGAATCCCTCCCCTCAGGCCCCAAGCGCACCGAACTCACAATCTCAGCCTACAACCTCCTCGCCGAGGCCAAGGAAATTCAGTTCGCAGAGAAGACAGGCCAGTCGTTTACCGACTATCTCGACCATGGCGAGCCTGACCGCTTCCCCCGCATCCAAATCCTGAACTACCAAATCAACATCAAGGATGACGTCGTCAACACCGCTGCTGAGACGTCCCGCCAAAAAGCAGAGGAACTCATGGTCGAAATGCGCGAGCTTGAAGTTGAGAAATTAGAAGTTCAGTACGAGGCTGCGCTACTCGCTGCTCAGGTCCACGAGCACCGTGTTGAGGCCCTTCGTCTTGGCGGCGAACTGGAAAAGGCAGAGGAGCTACTCGAAGCAGCTAGCATCGAGCGGACGCACGTCGATGACGTCGAAGTAGCGTTGTTGGAAGCGCAACTCGAGGTTGCAAAGCAGAAATCTGTTGTCGCGAACTTGAACGGCAACTTTGCAGCAAAGCAAAAGGCGCAAGAGGAGATTCGTGCGTGTGACGAGGCGCTTGCGGCGAAGAGGGCTGAGATCGAAGCTGAGAGTGCAGAGGGTGTTGAAGATGTGGATGTGGTTGAGACTTCAGCGGTTGAAACAGGGAAGGAAGAAAAGAGGATATAGGCTTCTTTTTCAGAAGTGTATGTGTTATTGTACAATTGTATCTATAGATGCTCATGAGTCGTGGCTTGATCGTTTACATACCATGTGAAATGGTAGATGGTGGTGTTACATGTTGCATGCGCTGATGCTTCTTTTCTTGTCTCTCACACTGCCCGCGACTCTACGTCCAACTTCGAGAAGCACAGCTGATGCTTGATATTGGGTTCGGTGACGCAGAAACCTCACGCCGCATCGTCCTCCGCCTTTTTCTCCACCTTCCTCCCTTCAAAGATGACCGTCATTACCCCTCCAACCTGCCCCTCACTCTTGCCCTCGCGAGCCCCCTTGCACTCTTCCACAGCGTCTCTGACAGCCTTGATAACCGCATCCGCCTCTTCAGGCGTCGCCTTCCTCCCTTTCTTCTTCGGCCCCATCAAAACCTCGACCTTCCTCCCCTCCCTAAGAAACCTCTTCAAAGACTCCAGTCGGTGCTTCAAATCACCGGGCGCAATAGCCCAATTGAGTTCAAGGGACTTTGGAGTAGGACCAGCGCCCTGACCTTTTGCCTGGCGGCGCAGTGTCTCGAGCTTGCGTTCGTGTTGAGCGCGAAGATCCATTTTGGAAATGACTCTGCAGGTAGGCAGGTTCTCGGGATCGAGCTGTCCGTATTCATCGACTTTTCCTGGTGTCATTTGTACTAGGTGGTGCGTGACTTTGTTGTAGCTGGCCAGTGCCTCCTCAGTCGGAACGTCGTTGTGAAATGTGCCATTTTCGTCTACGAGGTTGATGCGCTCGGCCTCGATGGCGTTGTCGATGATGTAATAGTCTGATATTGCATGGCGACGAGTGTCTTTGGTGTACTTCTTTGTGCGGATTGAGGTCCGCGAGGTGAGGCTCGGTGTTGAGGAGGCGAGAGATGTAGGTCCTGATACTGAAGGCGCAAATGCTGGGGCGTACAAAAGTGGGATTGAAGTTGTAGTGCGCAGAGATGGGGCGATGAAGACGCGGTACAGCGCACGTGAAGTTCCAGAGATGTGTGTGGGCGGCATTTCGGATGTAGTGTTTGAAGACGGATGCAGCAACAAATGAGAAAGAAAAAGAAAAGTTGCCAATGGTGGTGTGAGAATGGTCGAAGAAGCTTCAATGTTTTCCGATTGACGCTAGCACCGGTAGAGATCGAATCGGAGCAGCGACGACCTCCGAGAAGGCCGCATCCCCCGCCAACTCACACCTCCGTGACTATCTCCAGCCCACTCCATGTAGCCAATCACCATGGTAACGACAGGCCTGACGCACTGTTACTTTCGCTACAACCAACTTGGCCTGCCGCCATGAGTAACCCGCTCGAGGACTATCTAGCTGCACTGGACGCGCGTGATGCCAGGGAGAAGGCGCACGAGGCCTATGTCAACGCCTGTAAGAGGCTTTTTGCCTGCGCTGTGCTGCACCGAAGCGTCGAGTGGGGCTCATGATATGCAGATACAAAACTTGCCGATGGCACAGCAAGCCTGGCGCCTCCAGCAGCTCCCGTCGAAGAACCTTTATCTGCCAGCGCCTCTCTCAAGGCTTTGACGAACAGAGGCAAAGGCAAAGCGAAAGGCTCCGCTACAACAGATCCCGCACCGTCTTCTACAGTTGCGCAACTCCGCGCCGAACTTGCAGCCACTCAGCGTACCCGCGGTGACCTCGAAGCACGACTCAGTGCCACTTCTGCTGAACTCTCCGCCCTCAAAACCACAGAGACGGAACAGAGACGGCGGATAGAACATCTAGAAAAGACGCGCATGGCATTGGAAAGGCGGGCCAGGGACACGGCTGAGGAACTCAAGGGTAAAGGAAGACTTGTAGAGGACGTACACGACGAAATGGTGGCGCTCAACTTGCAGCTGAATATGGCAGAGCAGGAGAAGGAGAAACTGCGCAAGGAGAATGATGAATTGACCAAGAGGTGGGTCAAGAAGATGGAAGAAGAAGCGAAGAAGATGAACGAGCGGTCCGGGTGGGGAGATCAGTCGCGGAGGATCAAGTAGACAATCGCAAGATGGGAGAGTTTGGAGGTCTAGTGTCGTGTTTGGGTAGGCCGGCCTCCACTTTGTATTAGATTTACCATGACAATGAGAAAATCCAACTTTTTGTAAATTTTCGACTTAGATTTGGTTCTTGCTTTCTGACCCTGAACATTACTTACATAGTTACATACACTGACATATACTGGTGCCTGGTCATGTCTTGGCGTTCCCGAGTTCCCCGCAATCCCAGTACTCTACTATAGTTCCCCACCTCCAACCACCAGCAGACCAAACAACACGCCTCTGCGGTACCACTCCTGAAATCACTACACAATGGGTACCGCACTCAAAACATGGGGTGAGTAAGTGTGCTTCTTCAATAGCACAGCGTCATGTGCGCCCCGCACGCCCCGCCACTCGAACATGTCACTAACGTACATCTCCCAGAGCTCGAGAACTCCATAAAGCTCGTTGATCCCAGCAAGGATGCACTATACAACTACTCTCCTGCTGCTCAGAAAGCCATCAACGAGGCGCATCCATGGCGAACCGACCCCAACTACTTTACTTCGGTCCGCATCTCCGCTATCGCCCTCCTCAAGATGGTCATGCACGCGCGTTCAGGTGGTTCACTTGAGGTAATGGGCTTGATGCTGGGCAAGATTGAGGCACACACTTTTGTTGTCACAGATGCCTTCCGGCTACCTGTCGAAGGGACAGAGACACGAGTCAATGCACAGGATGAGGCAAACGAGTACATGGTCGAGTTCTTGCAGCGAGCACGCGAACAAGGGCAAATGGAGAATGCAGTGGGTTGGTACCACTCACATCCTGGCTATGGTTGCTGGCTATCTGGCATCGACGTCAATACGCAGAAAACGCAACAGCAATTCCAAGACCCCTTCTGTGCCATCGTCATCGACCCCGACCGAACCATCTCTGCAGGCAAGGTTGAGATCGGCGCCTTCCGCACATACTCGACCGAGTACGTCGAGAATCAGCAAAAGACGGGTGGTTCAAAGGTATCAGGGGGTACAGACAGCGACGGCTTTGAGACGATTCCGCTGGGCAAGATTGAGGATTTTGGTGCTCACGCCAGTCACTACTATTCTTTAGAGGTCTCGCACTACAAGTCCTCTCTTGACGCCAAACTGCTCGAGGCCCTCTGGAACAAGTACTGGGTACAGACGCTTTCGTCGTCGCCCCTGATCTCAAACCGTGAATACGGTACCAAGCAAATCTCCGACCTGGCACGCAAGATGCAACAAGAGTCACACAACAGCTCACGCTTCAAGGGCGGTCAAGGCTACTCGAATAGCCTTGAGGTCAAGAATCAATTGACCAAGCTGGGTGCGGTGGGATCGAAGATTGCGCGCGAAGAGGATATGGGTCTGCTGGCGGCACAGGTCAAGGACAAGGTATTCAGCTTGCCAAGTGAAGGCGAGGTCAAGAGCCCAGACGTTGTTGAGATGGAGACTTCGTGATGTTGCAGGTCGAAGAGGTGCGCGAACATGTGCAATGACTGGACAGCATGGCAAGGCGTTTATGGCGTAGCAAGGGAATTATCCGGATCGAATGATAGAATTACAGAGGGTAGTGTATTAAATTCAATACAAACCTGTCATGGCTTGATGACACGAAATTCGCTCCTCACTGGTATCATACAATTCAGTGAAGCAGACATAATCAATCTGCATCACCCCCCAACCCATCTTTTAGCACCCCAACCTCGCCAGCGTCTCTTTACGCCCCAAAATCAACATGACATCGAAAATCCGCATGCCTTCCTCCTGCCCCGTAACCGTCTTCCTCAGATAATGATACACATCCTTACTCCCCTTCTTGCCTTCCTCCCTCCCATCAATAATCTCGCGCACCTTTTGCATCAAATGCTCCTTATCCCAGTCTTTCTCCTCCACCTGCGCCAGCATCTGCGCGCGCATGGGGATATCCGACGATGTAGCCACAGGCGGTGTATTACGGAATGGACGTAGCGGGGTGAAGAAGAAGGAGTTGCGGTAGAGGAATTCGTTTGCGTTTGTGTAGTTTTCTGCGTCGACTTGGACGATGCGTTTTATGTAGTCGTGGGGGAAGGGGGAGTTGACGACGGCTTTCCAGTTTGTGTAGGGGGAATCGGGGCTGGCGAGGAGGTCGGCGATGTTGTTTACGATTTCATCGAGGGCGGGACCGCCGGTTTGGGCGCGGAGGAGGGCGTGTTTGCGTTGAAGAAAGTGCAGTTTGCCGAATGTAACGGTTGTGTTTCCCTTTGTGAATTTCAGGGAGAAGTTCTTGATTAGGGCTTCGAGGTCCATTATGTCGGTCTTTTCCTTGTGGCTCCAGCCCAGTAAGGCGGCGAAATTCGTGAGGGTTTCGGGGAAGATTTGCATTTCTTTGAAGGCGGCGATGTCAGTGTCGAAGTTGCGCTTGCTGAGCTTGTTGCCATGCTCGTCGACGAGGAGGCCTACGTGGGCGAATTCTGGGGGGTCCCAGCCAAAAGCTTGGTACATGGCGATGTGTTTGGGGGTGCTGGGCATCCATTCGCTGCCACGGATGACGTGTGTGATTTTCATGAGGTGGTCGTCGACGACGTTGGCGAGGTGGTATGTAGGTAGGCCGTCTGACTTGAGGAGAATGGGGTCTTCGTAGGCGGTTTCGGTGACATGGCCGCGTCGCTTGAGGGGGTGGAAGGTGCCGTAGATGAGGTCCTTGTAGGTTGGGTATTGCTCGGGCACTTTGAGGCGGATGGTATGCGCTTCTCCCTTTGAGGCTCTGTCGTCGCTCTCTTCTTTTGATATCGGGGCGCATGTACGGTCGTAGTCGGTGGCTATCCCCAGTTTATGTCTATGTTGGGCCAGCGCATTCAAGCGCTCTGCTGAACAGAAACAGCGGTATGCATTGCCCGACTCTATCAAGTCATGCGCATGCTTTCTGTACAATTCGCTCCTCTCTGACTGTTTGTATGGCCCATATGGCCCTCCCACTTGTGGCCCCTCATCCCACTGTAGCCCCGCCCATCGCAGATCGTCAAATAGTCGCTGTTCGGCGTCGGGCACTGTGCGCTTCTGGTCTGTATCTTCTATCCGGAGAAGAAACTGCCCGCCTGTACGTTTGGCAAGGAGGTAATTGAACAGCGCTGTCCGTAGTGATCCCAGGTGCAGGTAGCCTGTTGGTGATGGTGCGAAGCGCGTCCGTGCAGGAAACGATGGCAAGGCTGTTTTACTTTTCTGGTCCTTCGGTGCCTTTGAGCTGATCTGGCGCCGTGAGCCCCGTGATATTCGCAGGAGACATGAGCGGCATGTATAAGCAGGGAATTGCGGGCGAATGAGAAGAGAAACGGACATGGCGGTGGTGATGCGACGGCGACCAGAAGCTGCCGGTCCGCGTGTGCAAAATGTTAGACAGGGATCTCTTCTATCTTGACCTTAGTGCGGGCGCGTCTGAACTTTTGCCCGCATTGCAGACTGATCGGCCTCTCTGGAGAAACTTTGTTGCCCTTACCTTTACTCGACTCCTGGTTGGCAGCCTTGCACGTTGCACTCTTTCTTCTTGTACATGTACCTTTGAAGCAAACTTTTGCTCTCTTCCCTAACCTTCCCATCCCTAGACTCCACACAAGAGTACGTATATTCTGTTCCTTACGCCATGGTTACATGCTGACTGAAGCGCAGTGGACGAAGAAATCGACCTCTACGGTGCGCCTACATGCTTGCCTGAGGTGTATACAAACTAACGGAGACAGAGATCCTTGAGATCGAAAAGGGCGCAACCAAGGTCGAGATCAAAAAAGCCTATCACAAAGTGCGTAGGCAAAGGCGGGCGACGCATAAAGCGACGCATCTCTAACATACTCAGGCTGCACTCGCACATCATCCCGACAAGGTCGCAGAGGAAGATCGTGCAGAAGCCGAGGTCCGCTTCAAGGCTGCAAAGCAAGCCTACGAGATTCTCTCCGATGATGACAAACGCCAACTGTACGACACCCACGGCATGGCGGCCTTTGACCCGTCCAAGGGAGGAATGGGCGGCGAGGGCCCAGACATTGACGACATCTTTGCGCAAATGTTTGGTGGCATGGGCGGCTTCGGAGGCATGCCCGGAATGGGTGGCATGGGTGGTATGGGAGGAATGCCTGGCGGGCGCCACGTACCTCGCAAGGGACGGTCGGTAGAGCAAGAGTACGAGGTTTCACTGGAAGAATTATACAAGGGCAAGACGACCAAGTTCACAAACACCAAGAACATTGTCTGCAACCTGTGCAAAGGCAGTGGCGGCAAACAGGGTGCCAAGAGCAACTCTTGTGCTGTGTGTAACGGAAGGGGTAGGTTATTATTTTCACATTCGAACGGAATCATTGACTAACCCTTGTAGGTGCGAAACAGGTACTCCGCCAAGTCGGTCCTGGTCTAGTCACTCAAGAGACAGTCCCTTGCGGCAACTGTCAAGGTTCTGGTCAAGTCATTCCCGAGAAGCAGCGCTGCAAGAAGTGCAAGGGCAACAAGGTCGTCGAGACCAAGAACGTCCTTGAACTTTATATTCCTCGTGGTGCCCGAGAAGGCGAGAGGATCGTGCTAGCAGGAGAGGCGGATCAACTGCCTGACCAGGAGCCCGGCGACATCATCTTCACCCTTTCCGAGACACCTCACGACGTTTTTGAGCGTGCTGGTGCCGATCTCCGGTGCGAACTCAAGGTCACTTTGGCCGAAGCTCTTACAGGCTTTAACAGAGTTGTTGTCACCCACCTCGACGGAAGGGGTATCAAGATGAATGTCCAACAGCCAAACGGCAACGTTCTCCGACCAGGACAAGTTCTCAAGATTGAGGGCGAGGGTATGCCAAATAAGAAGAGCGACACTAGGGGTGACCTATACCTTGTAGTGGATGTCGAGTTCCCTCAAGATGGATGGTTGAAGAGCGAAGCCGCCGTGCAAAAGGTCCGCGATGCTCTGCCCAAGGATGAGAAGCCCGAGGAAAAGCATGAAGACGTTGAGGAAGTCGAGGTCGAGTGGGATGCTGACATGGAA